TTATCAGCAATCTGTCATCTTGGAAAATCCCTTATGGGAAACTTTTAACTACCACCTCAATGTCATTACTTGTAATAGGTCTGTTAGGTCTGTTTAGATTTTCAATATCTTCTTGATTTAAACTTGTTACATTGTGTCTACGAATTTATCCATTTCTTCTTGATTTTCCAATTTTTTTAACATATAATCATTTATAGTAGTTTTTTTATGGTCCTTTATGTTTCTGTGATACCAGTTATGATGTTTCCTTTTTCGTCTCTTAATCTTATTTATTTTGAGTTTTTCTCATTTTTATTTGTCTAGCTAAAGGCTGGATGATTTTATTTTTTCAGAATACCAGCTTTTCACTTCATTGATCATTTGTAATTTTAGTTTGTGCTCACTTCTGCTCTTATAACCACTACTAATTTTGGGTTTGGTTTGTTCTTGTTTTTCTTGGTCCTTGGAAAGGATTGTTAGGTTGGTTGTTGGAAATCTTGAAGTAGTAATTCACTACAATAAATTTCCTTTTAGTACTGCTTTTGCTATGTGCCACAGGTTGTGATATGTACCATTTTCATTTTTATTTGATTCAAGAGATTTCTTTTTATTTCTTTAGTGACCCATTTGATTGTTCATGAACATGTTATTCAATTTCTATGAATTTGTCTCTTTTCCATTATTTCTTTTATTGATTCCTAATTTTATTCTGATACAGTCACAGAGGATACATGACATGATTTCAGTTTTAAAAAAATTGTTGAGACTACTTTGTGGCCTACCCCATGTGGTCTAGATTGGAAAATGTTCCATGTGCTTATGTGAAGTATATACATGTTTCAACTGTTAGATTAAATATTCTGTAGATGTTGTTTATACCCATATGGTCTATAATGTAGATTAGACTTCATTTTTTTTTTTCCCCAGTCTGGATGATAGGTTCATTTTTGAAGGTCTGGTTAGGTGTTGAAGTCCCTAACTATTATTGTATTGGTATCTATTTCTCCCTTTAGCTAATATTTGTTTTATATATTTGGGTGCTCCTGTATGTATTTATAATTATTATACCATTTTGGTGAATTAATCTGTTTTTTATTGTATAATAAATATCCTCTTCCTTCTCATTCTCCCTTACAGGTTTTGGCATAAATTCTCTTTTATCTGATAAAAGGATAGCTCCTCTCACTTACTTTTATTTTTCATTTTCATTGAATATCTTTTTATTTTCTTTCACTTTCATTCTGTGTGTATCTTCACTGGTTACCTGAGTTTCCTGTAAGCAGCATACCATTGGGTTTTATGTTTTTATTAATTTGGCCAGTTTATATATTTTGATTGAGAATTTAGTCTGTTTGCATTAAAGGTTATTATTGATAGGTGAGAACTTATTCCTGTCATTTTATTAATGGTTTCCTGATCATTTTATATATTCTTTTTATCTTTCATTGCAGGATAGGTTTTCTGGCATAGTATTTTTAGTAGTTTTTTTCTTTCACAATTGAATAATTCATTCATTCTCTTCTGTCCTATAAAAGCTGCTGTTAAGCTAATGGAGAAATCCTTATATATGCTTTCCTTTGTGATTTTATGATTCTTTAATGTTGACTTTTAATAATTTGACTATATGCTTTGGGGAATGTCTTTTTGATTGAGTCTTTCTGAGCTGTTTTGAACTTCCTCGATGAAGATATCCATATTTTTTTCAAGACATGAGATGTTTTAATTTATTAGCTCACTAAATAGCTTTTCACTATCTTTTTGTTTGTGTACTATTCCTTTTAACAATTTTTCTTCTCTTTTTGTCTGAGTTGTTGCAAAAGTCCTATCTTCAGTTCAGAAAATTATTTGTTGTTTTTGGTGTAGTTTGTTATTAAAGTTTTTTTTTTTTTTTTTGATGCTGGGAGTTGAACCCAGACCCTCTTGCATGCTTGACAAATGCTCCATCACTGAGCTATGTATGTACCCCAGCCATGTTTGTTAAACTTTTACTTATATTTTTTAAATTCTTCAGTTTCAAGAGTTCTGTTTTTTTAAAAAATTATTTCTGTGGTTCAATCCCTAGCTCCTCTCCAAATTCTACTTTGTTGAATTTCTCATTCAGATCATGAATTTTTTTCCTCTTGTTGGATTGTGTATATACTCTTGCACCTCACTAAGTATACTTAGTTAGGATAATTATTGTGTATTTCTTTTCAGGCATTTCATGGATTTCCTTTACATTGGGTCACATTTTCAGAAAATTATTGTGTTCCTTCAGAAATGTTGCACTTCCTTGATTTTTCATGCTTCTTTTGTCCCTACATTGGCATTTACAGATCTGGTATAGTACTCACCTCTTCCAATTTTATGGTGTGGCTTCGACCACAAGAGACTTTTTTCATTTAAATAGGTTGTAGGGTATCAGTAGGTGGTTTGACTTTGGTTCTGAGTATGCATAGAAATATAGCTTACTTGTGATTTGTTCAGCAGTGATCAGTATCAGCAGTCTCTGCAAGTGCTTCAATGGTTTAGACTGTAGGTGTTTGTGGAGGTACTTGTGTGACTTTGTAATGATCTTGGGCCACCAGAGATGCATGACCTCAGACTGCATTTCCCCCAAGTTTCATCTCTTTTCCCTGTGCACAAAGACCTTCAAAACCAGAGTTGGAGGTGACATGAATCAGCAGATGTCCCCTACTAATTGAGTATTTAAGCTGGCAGGTACCAGTAGTGGTGTAGCTTTTAGCGTTGGCAACTGTGATTCTGGGAGTATAGTCTATTTGAGGAGTACCTCCTCAGCCTCTGTGGTGGTTAAGTATTTCTCTTTCACTCTGTCTTTTCCTTTCAGAAGTCTACAATGTATATATTTGAAAGTCTATGCAAGGGCCCCAATGAAACCAAAAATTTCTCAAAGATAGTTCTTTTTCTTTCCAATCCTTGTTCCTCCTCCTCTTCCTTTCTTCTTTTCTTCCTCTTTGTTCTCCTCCTTTCATGCTGTGCTGTAATCTGGTACTGTTTTGCCTGAATGCAGTTGCTATTGAGATAGAAGTCTAGATTAGTCTTTCTGTGAGACTAATAACCCTTCAAATCCCCAGCTTATTTGAAGAGTATGTCCTAAAAAACTCTCCACTTTTAATGTATGGTACACTTGACTTACACTTCTCTTGGGTATTTAATGAAACACAAGTGTGCTAGTGTTGGCAAAGATTCACAATGCAACAGTAGCTTTAGTCCTTGGCTTATCCTTCAGTATTTAGCTGGGTACATTATGTAAGGTTTTAATATATAAATGTGGTATTTTTATATCATATCCACTGAGTTTAACAGTATTCAGTGGAAGAATTGGTCTGAACAACTTAGCCTGCTATCATCAGAAAACCTAAGTAACCTCTTCAGTGATGTGTTCTAGTTTGTAATTTCTTTATCAGGTGGGTCTCATTGGTTGTTAAAATCTGTATTCAGAGTTTGAAGTTTTTGATGTTTATCATATATAATTTATAGAATATAATCTATAACTAAAATATATACTACTATGTTATATAGTATATCATAGTTTATGTACAAATGTGGTATAATGTATAATAATATTCTGTAATTGTAATTAGAAGCCTGTTTGCTTTGTTTTCAAATCTGCATGGTCATGTTATCATGTTTTGTTCCTTATTTATACTTTAAATACCTTCTGTTTATATTTTGCATCTGATTATTATTTTGTATCTGATTATACTATATCATAGTATCTGAGGTCTTTCTAGATTAGATTATGCTTTCTGAGATTTGGCTGGCTTTTATTCTTAGTGGTTTATTTCTCATGTATTTTGTGAAGCTTTCTTTTTAAAAATACGTTAATTAAAACATGGGGATTCTCTGAGGTCTTGATGAGTGTGTATTTGCAATTGTATGTGACAGCCTTTTTAAGCACTATTCCACTGATACCACTCTTTTTTTTTTCAGGTCACACAGATAACATGAAATCTTCTGTATACACGTGTCATTGCCTTCTGTAGTTGTGAATTTTTTCTCTCTTACATCTAGAAACAGGCTGACACTTGCAGATTTCTGGTTTTATACTATATGGTGGCTTGTTTTTCCTTTTTACTAAGTATATCAACTTTTGGGGTTTGCTCCTTTTTCTCAATAATCTCCAGCATGTTTTCTTTTCTTTTTTTTTTTTTTTTTTACAGAAAATACTGTTTATTCACATTTTACTTTTTAGTTTCTCCTCTATTCCTGTTTAGTTTCTTTTTCTTTTTTTTTTTATTATTATTCATATGTGCATACAAGGCTTGGGTCATTTCTCCCCCCTGCCCCCACCCCCTCCCTTACCACCCACTCCGCCCCCGCCCTCTCCCCTACCCCTCAATACCTAGCAGAAACTATTTTGCCCTTATTTCTAATTTTGTTGTAGAGAGAGTATAAGCAATAATAGGAAGGAACAAGGGTTTTTGCTGGTTGAGATAAGGATAGCTATACAGGGAGTTGACTCACATTGATTTCCTGTGCGTGTGTGTTACCTTCTAGGTTAATTCTTTTTGATCTAACCTTTTCTCTAGTTCCTGGTCCCCTTTTCCTATTGGCCTCAGTTGTTTTTAAGGTATCTGCTTTAGTTTCTCTGCGTTAAGGGCAACAAATGCTAGCTAATTTTTTAGGTGTCTTACCTATCCTTACCCCTCCCTTGTGTGCTCTCGCTTTTATCATGTCCAACATGTTTTCTAATGCTGAATTTCTCCCAAGTTTCATCTCTTGTCCCTATGTACAGAGACTTTCAAAACAAGAGTTGGAGGTGACATGAATCAGTAAATGCCCTTCGGCATTATCTACCTTCATGATTTATTTGTTTCTCTAGGTTTGATCTTTTTATGAAATTTTTACCCTTAGGTCATTTCTTTGGCTTTCCTCCTTTGTCAAGGTACATTGAAAAAATGTTTTAAACCCTTAGTTCCACATTCTTAAGGATTTTGACTGAGAAGGTTATTCATGTTAGCTCATTTGCCAATTGCCCTAGTATTCTCAAATGTTACTTTTTAATGTTTCTTTTATAGGATTCAGCTTAGCTGCATTTAAAAGGAACAAGAGGAAACTAGAGCTGGCAGAAAGGGTGGAAACAGATTTCATTCAACTAAAGAAAAGAAGACAATCAAGTGAAAAGGTCAGGAGCTGTTTGAAATATTAATTAATGTATAATAATTATAGCACTAAACTGTATTTAGATATAGAAGCTTGTATACATGCATAATGTATCATCTCTCATAGGGAAAAATTGTGATATGCTGGGAATGGTAGTGTATACCCATAATCTCAGCACTCAGAAGACTGAGGCAGGAGGATTGCAAGTTTAAGGCCAGCTTGGGCTATATAGTGAGACCCTGACCCAAAGTGAAAAAAAAAATGTGTACAGTGAGCAGTTTTGTAAGTTTTCATAAATATTTATGCCCATGTAACCCAAAAAGCTGTAAAGATACAGAACATTTCCAGTTCTTTTGTGCTTCCTCCAGTCAATTCCTAACCTTTATAGGCAGCAGCTACTGTTCTAATTTTTATCACCATAGATGTTTTTATGTTGCACAATCATACAGAAGGTATTTTTTTCTGTTTTCCTTCTTTCACAAAATGTTTTTGAGACATTGTATCACTGGTTCATTTTATGTAATATTTTCTAATGTGAATATACTATAATTTGTTTATCCAATCTCTTGTTGAAAATTTTAATTTCTTTGCAGTTTTTTTTGCTAGTATCAATAAAATGGCTATGTAATTCTCACATAGTTCTTTTTTTGTGGACATCAGTTTAGTATGTTTATACATAGAAATACCTGTCTTTAGCTGGTCTTTACTTATTTGGATGATTCATTTAATTTGGTAGATCATGGAAAGGTGTTTCAGTTTTATTTTAAACATGATGGGTAGCTATGGAAGAGTAGTAGATAAGCAATGCTATCTCAGTCACTATTTTCTGGAGTTGCTACATGGAGAATCTATCAAAGGGAGAGGCAACAATAGAAGCTGGATGCCTATTTCTACCCTTGGGAGATGATGGTGACTTGGACTGTGGGTAATAGAGGTAAAGGTGGAGTTGGAGAGAAGGGAATAGGTCCAGAATATGTTTTGAGTTTCTAGAAAGACAGATATTATTGATGCCTTAGATATTGGTTAGAAAGAGAGGGAAGTTAAGAGATTTTGCTTGAGTACTTGGGTATTGCCACTTAAAGATGAAGAGGGCTGGGGAGGTATCGTGATAGAGGTGGCAAGTGGAAATCAAGAACATAACTCATTTCAATTTAATTGGCTCAAGCTAACCAGGGATTTCCATTTTCAACACATTGCATATTACCTCATGCAAATAACACCATAAACACCCAAAGTTTATAAACCACCTTTTAGTGTGCCGTGCTTCTGACTTACATGCCACCAATATCCTTATTTTGCTTACTGTTTTTTTGATTATTAAAACTGCATAATCCATGAAGTCTATGTACACTGATGAATAGTGAGTTTAAAAAGAGAGGTGTGTCTTTTAAAGCTAAGAGAATTGTCAGAAAATTAAGAGTGGTCTCTTTGAAAACTAACTTGAAAAAACGATTTATAAAAAAAGGAAAATGTTTAAAGTATTGTTTAGCTTTTTGTCACTGTGACAAGATACATGAGATAATCAACCTTCAAGGATTTATTTCGATATACAAAGTTTATTTTGGCTCTTGGATTCAGAAATTTCAGAGAGGGAAGGAGGGAATGGGGAAGGAAGAGGTGCTAGGGTCCAGTATTCCCCTCAAGAGCAAGCCCGTGGTCACTTAACTTAATCCTACTGGACCCCACCTCTTAAAAGTTCTACTACCTTCCAGCAGTGCCACAGATCATCCAACCCCTTTACAAAGTTTGACCGCCCCTGACAAAATTGCCATGGACTGTTGTTGTTACACTGCTTATCAGTGAGTTCTTTCTTGTGGTATGTGTGATGAAGAGATTACTTGTTTTAAGTTTAGTTTTGTTTTGTTCTGATAGAAAGGTAATTGTGTTGATACTAATCTTTATCATATTTGAAGGAAGAAATCTTTCTTTTGGAATGAAGTGATTAACTCATTGGCCAATTGCTGTGCTTGGCTTATGCCATAGGAAATGACTGAGTTGCTACTTGACTGAGAGTTGCGTGGTAAAATAGGAAACCCTCAAATTTAGAAAACAGACAGACTCAATGTACACCATTAATCTAGATTTCATAAATATCTATTTCAAACAGCTAGCCCTGGATATTACTGGATATTAAAAGAGGTTGGGGGTATTGTTTGATCTTAACATTTTTGATGTTTCAAGCTTTTTTTCCCCTTCATTTTTGCAACCATGTTGCTTAAATAGTTTCCATCTCCTTTTTCTTTAATAACAGATTTTGCAGTTGAATGTACATAGTTATTCTTTGCTTCCTCCCACCACTTTTATGAAGTTAATTTAAGTTTTCAATTATTTTCATTGGTTTTTAGGTAAAGCAATACTTACATAGGATGGTGAAATGAAAGTTAATCAGACCTTTTCCATTATGAAAATCTTTTATTCTTCAATTTCTAATAAACAAGTTTGAAAAGTTTTATAGTGATTTTGTTGCTCTTATACCATGTTTTGTGTTCAAAATCACTCTAAAGAGATGCTCCAACTTTTGATTTTGCGTTCTTTTGCCACCACATAGAGACATCAAACTGGCCGTAAGTTTCAGAAAGGAAATGTTGGGCCTTGCTTTGTGTGCTTCATATAAATATATTCTATTCTTTTGAAGTATATTGTGAGTAACATTTTTGTCTTTTATCCTCCATCTTGAAATTATTATGTAAATGCTTAACTGTATCATACTAAATCACTAATTTTTGGGTGAGAGGTAGGTTAAGATCAAAGAAAATAAATGCATAGAAAAAAAACCTGTTTTCCTTAGATTGTTCCATTTGTATTTGTGTACAAATACAAGTTTGTATTTGCATACATGCATGTGCATTATGTATGCAGGGTAAGGAGTCATTAGTCTTCTCTAGAAATTTACTTTGCTTTGTCTAGAATCTTCTTGTATTTCTCAAGAGAATGGTTAGTATATGGGTTTATGAGTAAACAGACATAGAAAGCTTCTTTGACTTCCTTATACATAAAGATATGCATTATATAGATTTCTATAAAACTGAAAATTCTTCCAGTGAAGTGATTATCTTCTGTTTGAATTAATTTCTTTGAATTGTAGGTAATATATTAAAATTTTCACTCCTCATCTAAAGACTATCTTGATTACTAGGTAAGCCTAGTGTGTTTACATGGAACACACTAGGTAGGCTAATAACTTTTAATTAAATCTATTTCCATCTCATGCATTTAATGTAGGCTATGGAATCTGTTGATCAGTATTTCTTTTCACTATAACTTGATGATAATTCTTTACATGTCTGTGGTTTATAGTACTTTATGTCAATTCATCAGTGTCTAAGTCCCAAATTTTCAATCCTTAATGGCCGGACAATTGCAGTATTTTTCTTCCCTGGATCAGGAAAAGCTTCTAAGTTCTTATCAAGATTCAATAGCTAATAGGTTTTTTCCCAGGTCTTTCTTAAATTCTTAATTAGCTAAACTTTAAGTTTATATGAATCTTAAAGTTATAGGTAAGATAAAATTGAGGCAAGAAGTCAGTGTTAAATCTTAACTGCTGTTTTTATTTCATAATGAAAGTAACTTGTAGTTTCTTCAAAATAGTTGTTATAAGTTGACATCAGATATTGTCAGCCTTGTAAATCTTTCCTTCTTTTAAGTACAGGGGTTCCATTAATTTTTAATATTTAACAGAATTAATAGAGGGAATAAAAGAGCATTCTTTTGTTATAATTGGAATAGTTCCAGCTTATTTTGTATGTAAGTTAGAAATCACTGTATTGTAACTTTTCTAATAGAAACACCTCCAGTGAATGGAATTTCATTGGGAGTACAGATGGAAGCTTTCCTATCAGGGAATTGTCTCAGGCCATAACGTTAATAACATCAGATTCTAAATCAGAACCTTTAAATATGTCTTCAAATGATATTATATGCAGTCATCATGCACTAATGACTTGAGTTGACCCATCATTGCCATGGTGATACTGACATGTGTAGCTATTAAGACAAAAAAAATACATGGAAAGACAATTGTGTGTGTATATGTATACATAAACATATACACAGATCAAGGATGTTTTTAGATTAGAAGACTCCTAAGGACCAGTGCTTAATTAGGTTTAAGGAAAATGAAGTCTTTAAAACCTTGATTAGATAACTTGTCAGTCTAGAAGATTTTGAAAAATAATCAGATACCAGCAACTGTTTAATATTCAGTCAAGACTAGAATTACTTAAGAAGAATAGGATAGGGTATAGGGTAGGGGGTGAGATGAGGCATAGGAGACTAAGAGTTCTACCTACATCTATTAATGAATCCAGAACCTTTGTGTAAACAAGGGAATCTCTCTTGACTTTATTTTCCTCAGCAGTAAAATCAGCATGTTGAATCAGATGCTTACCATGATGCTTTTCAGCTTAATAAGTCTTTATTACATTTTCATTGCAACATGGAGTTTGTCCAGACTTCCTTGATTCTCTTATTAAGGGATTCTTCATTCTAGTGGATCCTAAAACTGACTGATATTGTATTCATCTAGGGAGTTTTAGAACTATGGATTCTTAAGAGACTCTGTGCTCTGAATGGGTAAGCCATCAGAATAGCACCTGAGATCATTATTTTTTTCTTCTTAATATGTCACAGTAGGCTTAGAAAAGCACCTACTTAGTAATCATTGTTTAAGAAACACAGAAAAATCTAGAACTGCTTATCGTATACTTTGACTTGTTTGACTCACCATAACCTAACTTAGCCTGTGTAAAATTGAGCTCTATCCCTTTTTCCTGGATGACTGAAATAGCGTTCTAATCCATCTACCCACAACTGCTGTTGCTCTTTGCAGTCATTTCTCCACCTAGCATTTGCTGAGTTGTTTTAAAGTGTAATTTGATTTTGTCATGCTCCTGCTAGAACTCTGTAGTCACTTCCAGCTGCTCTTAACAATAAAGTATACGGTCTTTAACAGAGTGAACAGGACCTCAGAGGAGCATGCATCTGTCCTTCTTTCCAATTTTTTGCCTTTTCACTCTCACTCTGAGTCTCATTGTTTAGCCAGATTCTGCTTGTGTCAAGGTCCTCTCAACTTTGGTTCCATATCCAGGGGTTGTTAACCTCTCTTCTCTCCTCTCTTGTTAAGTT